TAAAGTAATATTCCGCAGCATAAACAAATGTAACCCATCTTTACATAGTTAAAGTAATATTATACAATATATATATATATATATATATATATATATATATATATATATATCGGGAGGCAGAAGTAGGTGGATCTCTGAGTTCAAGGCCAACAAGGTCTCCAGAGTGAGTTCCAGAATAGCGGGGCCTGGAGAGATGACTCAGTGGTTAAGAGCACTGGCTTCTCCTCTAGAGAACTTGAGTTTGATTCCCAATGCCCACATGGGAGTTTACAGCCTCTGTAGCTCCAGTTTCAGGGAGTCAAAACCCACTTCTGGCCTCCTTGGGGAGCCAGGCATGTAAGTGGCACACAGACAAACATGCAGGCAAAGTACACATGTGCGGAAAATAAAAAGAGAAGGACTTTTTTTCTTCTTTTCGGGGGCGGGGATGTTTCGAGACAGGGCTTCTCTGTGGCTTTGGAGCCTGTCCTGGAACTCACTCTTGTAGACCAGGCTGGTCTCGAACTCACAGGCTGGTCTGCCTCCCGAGTGCTGGGTTTAAAGGTGTGCGCCACCACCATCTGGCTGGACCTTTTTTCTTTACTTTTGAAAAATTATATTTATTGTATGTGTATGGACACCGGAAGCCATGGTGCTTTTTTGGAGGTGAGACGATAACTTGTGAGCACTGCTCATCCCACCATGTGGGTTATGGGTATCCAACTCCATTGTCAGTCTTGGTAGCAAATGCCTTTGCTTGCTGGGCTAGCTCGTTGGTTCAGGAATGAATTTCTTGACAGAATTAATTTTGCTTGTTTTGCCAGAGAATAGTCAAATTTCAAGAAATTAGTGTCAGGGCTAGAGAGATGGCTCAGAGGTTAAGAGCACTGACTGCTCTTTCAGAGGTCCTGAGTTCAACTCACAGCAACCACAACCATCCATAATGAGATCTGGTGCCCTCTTCTGGCCTTCAGGGATACATGCAGACAGAACATTGTATACATAATAAACAAATAAATCTTAAAAAAAAAAAAATTAGTATCACAGTCAACTTGTTTGTGTGTGTGTGTGTGATTCCGGGGGGGAAAAAGAATGTGTTAGAGAATTAAGTTTTCATTTAGAGTTACAATTACAGCAGGATTAGAAAATTGCCTCACAGGCTAAAGAGATGGCTCAGTAGCTAAGAGCACTTGCTACACTAAGCATAGAGGCATACACCTCTAATCCCAGCACCCAGGAGGCAGAAACAGGCTCATCTCAGAGTTCGAAACCAACCTGGTCTATATAGTGAGTTCTAGGACAGCCAGGCATACACAGAGAAAACATGTCTTGACCCAGGTTCAATTCCCAGCCACCAACATGTCTGTAACTTCAGTCTCATGGGAACCAATGCCCTCTTCTGACTTCTAGTACTGAGCTGTGTCTCCAATCCAACTAACAATGGTTTCAAACCTTTTTAGATTTATTTATGTTTATGAATATTTGACTACAAATTGATCTGCGTACTATGTATATGCCTGGTGCCATAGGAGTCTGTGGTGGTTTGGATGAGAATGGCCCCCACAGGCTCATACATTTAAATGCTTAATCTCCAGTTGGTGGACTGCTTAGGAATGCTTAGGAGATGTGGCCTTGTTGGAGGAGATGTGTCATTGGGGGTGGCCTTTGCGGTTTCAAAAGCCCAAGTCAGGCCCAGTTTCTCTGTCTCTCTCTCTCTGCTTCTGCCTGTGGATCAAGATGTAAGCTCTTAGCTACTGCTCTAGCATCAGGCGGGCCTGCCTGCCACTATTCTTTGTCATGATGCTCAGGGATTAATGTGCAGATACCTTGTTTATACTCTAGCAAATAAAGCTTGCCTGGAGGTCGGAGGGTGGAACTAGTTACTAGCTAACCATAGAGGTCTGGTGGTCTGTGCAGACAGACAGGAAGTGAGATAGCTGGACAGTTACAGAGGGTTGAGGGCTGCCATGTGGGTACTGGAAATTGAACCCTGGTTCTCTGGAAAAGCAACCAGTCCAAACTAGCCTTGAACCCTGTATGTAGCCCAGGAAGACTTAGAACTTTCCATTCTCCTACCTCAGCCTCCCAAGTATTTCTAATTACAGGTTTGTATCACTGGGCCAGGCTTTTGGTTATTTTGTTAGTAGGTCTTGCTATATAGCCCATGTGAGCTCACTTTCTAGTAATACAGTTGCCTCTCTCCTTGCCTATCTGTCTGCAAGCCTACAGCAAGATGGTGACCGGCTCCTGTGAAATCAAGTCTCATAGAGGAAGGTGGCTCGAATCCTGGATGGGGAGTAAATTCAGTATCACATATTCCCCAGATACCACACTGCAGGACTGAGGTGTGAGCCTGGGTGAGCAACACAAGGCAATCGCAACTGAGGGCTGGTATTAGACATGAGCTACTAAGCTCAACGTAAAATTATAATATTGAAAGAAGAAACTGTTTCTTTAGTTGTTTTGTTTTTTCGAGGCATGGTCTTGTAATGTAGACCCAAGCTGACCTCGAGTTTGCCAAGTAACTAAGAATGACCCTCCAGCCTCAGCCTCCCAGTGCTGGGATTAGATGCATCTGAAGGGGAGAAGAGGAGCGGGGAGGAGGACATGAGGGACCAGGAGATACCTTAATAGAGGGAGTCATTATAGGTTTAAAGAGACACCTGACACTAGAGAAACGTCCAGAGATCTACCGGGAGGACCCCAACTCAGACTCTAAGCAACAGCAGAGAGGCTACCTTAAATGCCCTTCCCCTATAATGAGATTGATAACTACCTTATCTGCCATCCTAGAGCCTTCACCCAGTAGCTGATGGAAGCAGAGGGAGACACCCACAGCTAAACACTGAGCTGAACTCCGGGAATCCAGTTATAGAGAGGGAGGAGTGATGAGCAAAGGGGTCAAGACCAGGCTGGGGAAACCCACAGAAACAGCTGA